AGTACAAAGCTAGAAAATTCTGACTTCATTTTAAGTGGAATGATACCCATTAATTTCAGTGAAGTAGGCTTTTCCACAATGAATCCCAGAAAGGATGGGAAGCTCATCATACTGATCGCCCTAGACTGCACAAAACAACGTAAAGATTCTTCTGCAAAGTCAGTATGCACCTTGCACATGGCACTTACCTCTTCAGAAAAGGAAAAGAAAGAATTGCTTATTTGAAACTTGGGTGTGTTTTCATGTAGTGCACTAGATAAATAATGAGCGTTTTAGCTCATGCACTGACTTCAAAGACATACTTCTCTAGCACAAGGGAGAAGAAATACAGCCATAGGTGGTTGGAAGTTTTGCCTAATGGCAGAGGGTAACCATTACACTTCTCTAGCATTGCTCTGTGGGCAGCAAATTTAAGCTATCTTTGTAAAGACAAGGAGAAACCCTGTAGAATGTAGCACAAAACACACACTTTCTGTTTGTAACACTGTGTAATGGTGAGCTCCCAGTTAAGCTCTGGCTCTACAGACAGGCATGGTACTGCACTTTGTGGCTGAAATCCCACTCCCACTCATGTAGAGGGCAAAGCACCTGCTGATTTCAGCAGAGCCAGTACTGATTGTCATAAAAACTTACTATGAGGTATACTATAAAATAACATGGAAAGTTATAGGTTTCTTATGATGCTTCTACAGTGCTTTTCTGCTTGGACACAGGGAGCACTTAAGTGTTTTCTGTGGTCTTTAAGCACTGTGCCATCAGGAAATGTGTGCCCCACAGCCCTTCTCCCCCACCAACAGCCCACCATAGCTGGAATCTTGGGGCCAGATTGATTCCTGGGGGAAACGCGCCACTGAGAAGCACCACTACAGTACAATGGCCTCTGATGGGAGACATGCTTGTGGTAAGGGCAAAACTGAGTGTCAGAGGAAATTCACTCCTCTGAAAAACATCATAAAGGTATGCACCTGTATTCATTCTTTACAAGCTCTAAAAATAGGCTGCAAGTGGGATATGTGATACATGTTACCCCTTCGCAACAGCCAACTATGGCATTCATCATGTATGGGTATTTACAAATGAAAGTGATAGCTCTCTGTAAACAACCAAAAATTGTGTCATTTATTTCTCTGCCTCTGAACTCCGTACACTGATAACTGTCAGCATCAATAAACCCCTTTTGTTAAGCTGGAAAGAAGACCTGAACTACCTGCGGTGACAGACACTGCTTTCAGCCTCTTCCGGATGGGGTTAAGAGATAATCTTTATCAGCCACACCTTTGACTACTTTGCAAGGTATTATTAGGGTCGGTGCCTTCAGAGATAAATTCAGAGGTTGTTGTTAATATTAGATTTCCCATCAGAGCCATTAAAATAAAATGTGACTTTGAGTCAAAGAACAGAGCCAGACCCACACTGTTTATGGCCTGAAAAAACATCATGTTTTTGCTGGAAAGATAACTCTAAGACTGAGATTTTGAGTCAAGTAATAAGATTGCAATAGGAACGGATTAGTTTTACCCTTCTAAATAATAGCTAAAATGAACAAAGCATTGTACCAACGAAGAATATCAATCTTGAGCATGTTTGGCCGCATCTTTCTCCTATCTCCTACTTGTCTGCTTTGCAGATAAGAATTTCTGGGTCAGGTGAAGTTTGAAAATATCTGCAATGCTGAGATCAAAGAATGTGTGGAAAGTCTTAATGCTTCAATGCTTGCAGCCCAGAAAGCCAACCGTATCCTGGGCTGCATCAAAAGGAGTGTGACCAGCAGGTCGAAGGAGATGATCCTGCCCCTCTACTCTGCTCTCGTGAGACCTCACCTGGAGTATTGTGTGCAGTTCTGGTGTCCTCAACATAAAAAGGACATGGAACTGTTGGAACAAACCAGAGAAGGGCCACGAGGATGATCAGGGGGCTGGAGCACCTCCTGTATGAAGACAGGCTGAGGAAGTTGGGGCTGTTCAGCCTGGAGAAGAGAAGGCTGCATGTAGACCTCATAGCAGCCTTCCAGTGTCTGAAGGGGCCCTATAGGGATGCTGGGGAGGGACTCTTCATTAGGGACTGTAGTGACAGGGCAAGGAGTAACGGGTTAAAACTTAAACAGGGGAAGTTTAGATTGGATATAAGGAGGAAATTTTTTCCTCTTAGGGTGGTGAGGCACTGAAATGGGTTGCCCAGGGAAGTTGTGAATGCTCCACCCCTGGCAGTGTTCAAGACTAGGTTGGACGAAGCCTTGGGTGAGATGGTTTAGTGTGAGGTGTCCCTGCCCATGGCAAAGGAGTTGGAACTTGATGATCTTAAGGTCCTTTCCAACCCTAACTATTCTGTGATTCTATGATTCAAACAAATTAAAGATTTCAGAGGGTCTTAAAGAAGACCTGGCACAAGGAGCAGCCAAGCAGGATGCACATAGTGGTGGCATAAAGTTAGGGGGCTAGGTGGGAAGCAGAAATCCTGCACTGAGCAGAGGAGGCATTGAGGAGCTCACAGAGGGAGCAAATTCCCAGCAGAGCTGCTGCATGAACCATCACATCAACTAAATCCACAGCACTTCCCTGCAGGCGGGAGCGCGCAGCAGCCCCATCACAGAGCTGGAAACGTGGACAGGATCTTAGGAAATGTGCTTCAAAATCTTTATGAGGTTACGGCAGGGAAGAAACAAAACCAATTCATATTAATTGGAGCCAATAGTACAGAACACATACTAATTTAAACTACATTTAGAATGTTTCCATTTGAATGCTGTTGGAAAGATAACAAATAGTAGCCAATTATTTTCACCTGCTTAAAACAAAGTAATTAATAATGCTTTGGTTATGTTACCTGGGAAGCCAGGCTCTGCTGAGAGCTGAGTGATCGCCTGAAACATCCCAGAGCACTCCTGGAGTCAGAGCTACAAGGACAATTCCTCTGTACCCCCTGACTTTGCTCCTGAACTGGTCCCTAAACATCCCCCAAGGTCTCATGCTGCTGCTCCTTCCACCTCTTCCCAGGCTCTTCCCTGCCCCTCAGCACAGTGGGAGCGTGGCTGCTGCCCTCCAGTGCCCAGCATAGAGGGAGCCATGCTTTCCTGCTGGGTCCTGTATATCTCCCCATCCCTTGTGCTGGCACCTGTAAGGTATTGTTTCCTTCTCTCCAGCCACTGGGCAACAAAACAGGAAAAAACACCCAGCCCATTTCTGATATCACCTAAAGTTTAGGGACTTCCTCAGACGGTCTCTATCTTAGCTTTAACCCTGGCACTTCCTTGTACAAATACCTGGGTTTTAACCCAGCAGACATACAAGTAAATGTAGCATTATAAAGTAATCACACAAGTAATGATTTTCTTTCTCACACGCACTTTCAGCAAATACAACTCTGCATGTCTAGGTAGTTTATCCATTCAAAGAACTGAAAATGTTTTTCTAATTAATCATTCTACTTAAAAAAAAAACAAAAAAAACAAGAAAATTCTGTGCAGTTGCCAAACAACAAGAACATGGGATTGAACAACCACTTTTTTAGTTTCTTTTCCCTCCAACTGTATTCAGTTATGGGTTTCAGAGTGAATTAGATTAACAAGTTAGGTATTTTCTGTTTAGTCATTTAATGAATTACAAACAATTCCATTACCTACTCTCTTTATTTTAAGTTTTTTTTTTCCTACAAACTAGTGCATTAACCTCCAAACAGCCTGCTGAATGCAGTGGCTGTATCTCTATGTGGTGCCTGGGCTAAAACAAATCAGGTTGTTCAGCTAAACAACCCAGGCTCTCACAGAGTCAGAACCAGATCTGTATTTCTCACAATTTGGACATAAAAACTGTTTTCCAATAGAAAACTGAAACCAAGATGACACCTGGAGAGAAAACTTGCAGAATTTGGATTTTGTCTAAGCCAGTCTCCAAACCTATAAACTCTCCATTCACCATCAATCACATTTATGGGCAAACCACAACTCTGCTCCTGCTGCGCGTGACAAGGGAGCCAGGCAAGGAGGAGAAAAACATCATCTTGCCAAAGGACTTAATCTGAAGCTATCATCAGATATGAATGACAAGCTTACACTGATTACAACCTCCCTGTGTTAGAGAAACAGGTTATAGTTTTATTTTAAGTAACAGTAAGTGTCATTTTTATTGCTCCATTTTTTCTTGCCAGGAAATATAAAGAAACAGAAAAGACTGAACAAACACTTCAACATCCCATGGATAGCTGGTTCTTATTGGTACACCCTCTTCTCTAAAGAGATGAATTTCCCTTGACAAACACTGGGTACAGCACAGCGTGGCTTTGCTTGCAAGACCTGGAATCTGCTACCTTTGCCTCCAGGGAAGGATTTGTAGAGCTCCAGCCCTGTGATGCTACTGGCAAGATTAACACCATATAAATGGGAATGAATGCTGTGCAGGGACTTTTGGCTATGGGCAATTTCTGGCAAGACCCACCACTGGGAGGGTGACACTGTTGTACTGCCCCAAAGGAGAACCACCTTGCACAAGGAAGTCCAGGGGTGACTGCCCAAGGGTCATCAGAGAGCAGTAAATGCACTCTTTCTGCATTAGCCTCTACTGTACATATGAAAAACCACTTTAAACTGTATTCCCCTAATGCTTTATAATTTACCATAGCAGCTTAAACCAGAAGCATAATACCACATCAAACCACAGATCCCTTGACATTAAGAAGATGCGCAGACTTGTGATCCTTCCACAGGGAACACGTGTGTATGTGTTTGTGATCTATATGGATATTTGGGGTATGTCTGCCCTGGAAAGCAAACAAGGACACATGCATGTGCACAGCAGTCACAGCCTTCATCCCCCTCACGTGGGAAGTCTGAAATACTTCAGTATGGAGCAAACCCAACACCGTACCACTGTCAAGGGGTGGGTCCTCACCTGAAGGCAGCTCCCTTCCTTTTCTTCTCCTTGGCCTGCTCAAACTAATTGGCAAAGAGCTGCAAGTGGCAAAAATCTTAACAGAAAAATAGAGAATGTTCATGAAGAGCAAAGAAGCTAAATTAATTGGAAAATTTATTCAAAGTATATAACTCTTTAACACAGTGTCTAACAAAATTACACACTGAGCTGCATGGTTAAACAGAACAATTCTGCTGCAATCGAATTTACCTTTTTTTTTCTGCAGAAAGTCTTGATTTCAAATATCCTGGAAATGTTTAACAGCTGATATTAATAAGAGTACAGATTTAATATAAGGCTCTTTATTCCACAGACATGATAAGCATCATGACAAGTGGTGTAACTATGGCAACTGTGGTGTTTTTTTCTCTTTCTTTTTCCTCTGAAGAGCAAGAACAGGCATTTCACTAGAGGCAGTGCCAGATTCTCCTTTGAGGTAAGACTTAGTGCTCTGAGTTACAGAGGAGTAACTTAGCCAAGCATAGGTCCTGGGACTGGAATGCCTTTCTTTCCTATTATGTGTGCCCATTGTTTCATGGGCATTTACAAGTATTTAGCCATGAACCTAATTCTCTCCTTTTTCGCATTATGGTTAGAAAATAAGAGCATTCCTTTTTCCTTGCTGTTACAGTTCAAAACCAACAATCTCATCCCAAAGTCAAAATACTTTTAATGAAGAAAAGGATGCTCTCCTCATTAATGTATTGCCATATGTCACTGAAAGAGGTGCCCACATTTCCTTTCCTGAAGCCAATTAAGCCACCCCACACCCTCCGTGAAGTTTTCCAGGTATGAAAGTGGTGCCTATTTGCAATAAGAGAAAAACACTGAGAAAGACCTATTTCTTATGAGCCCTTTATTTGCTGCTGTTTGCTGTCCCCAGAAAACAAACCAACCCAGGCCCCTGCTGCATAAATGCATTCTGCTTGCTGCCTGTGTCAACATAAAATAATATCTATCGCATTTTACGGTATTATTTTATGTCAGTGACGAATGCTCAGCCGTGCCTCACACTCATTTTACTCACATGCTCCTCCAGTTCATCAGCACTGTCATTTCTGAGTGCCACACTGAGATTTTCAATAGTTTTTTTTCCACAAGGTGACAAAATATATCACGGCTTGGGTAAAATCACCAAAGATACACAACCGCACACAGGAACAGGCTGTGTGACATTACAAGACCTGTGCCTGTGTACTGCAGATGCAAAAAAACCTTGACCAGCAGCATGACAGCTATCAGATAAATGTGCCTGTCACCAGTGGGCAGCTGCTGGGCTATGCTTGGTTGTGTGACAGCCATCATTTCTTTTATAATCCTGTTGACTGTAGCACAATGATTTTCTACCATCAAGGTTTATTCCTATTCTTATCTATACAATCTTTGAACAGTTTTCTTCATGATTGTAATCATGCACAGAGTGCATGAATTCATGTCTTTGAGAACTTCATTTACCTGTAATATTGCTTATTTTCAGCTTTCCTGGTCTCTTTATTCCATTATTACTATGATTAGCCTTTTGAACTTGCTTACCAAATCTTTAGTAGGTCTGTGAACAAATGCTCTTTCAGCCAACCCATTGCCACTGGTCCTACCTGCTGCTGAAAATACTTTGCACCTGCTTGCCTGGAGCTGTTCCACTAAAGACTCAACTCGGATGATTTCAAATATCATTAATCTCACAAAAATACACAAAGGAAAAAAAAAAAGAAGAAAAACATAAAAGATTTTTTGCTTTGAGAAAAAAAAAAAGCAGCGAAGCCACTAGGTCTGACACAGAACTGACATCCCAATAGCCAAATCCAAGAGGAAGTTGCTCCACTTGCTCTCAGCAAGCCATGGACCCTCTTTCTGCAGAGAAAAAAAGAAAGAGTGTTTTCCCATCAGATCTGCTGGTGTGATCTTTTTGTTGACTGAACTTCACTGCCGTGTATGTTCAATCCTGTTACTTCAGGGAGAGCTATGAATAGACCTCCTTTATACCTGAGGGAGGAAAAAAATTAAGTCACTCATTTAATACAGGTTTCACACCTAACCTTATAATCTACATAGATTTCATCACAAATGTAAGCTACTCACTCTAAAGCAGATGTTAGATGTCTCCCTGCAGTATGTGACAGCTGTGATGGTGCTGATGGCTGCAAAACCATTGCATGGGAACTGAAGCAGAACTTCTCCATAAATGTTTTAATTCAGTACAGAATTTTTTAAAGGAGTATATACCTTGCTTTGATGAACAGGAACATAAAATGTATATCTCAGGCATGTGCTGCTGGCTGCTGCTGGGGAGGATGATGTGTGCAAGCAAGGACATCCCTCACCGCTACCACTGAGCTGAAAGGAATTGTATTACACCAGCAAATGGCTACTGAGCATCAAATTTAAGCACAAGCATGGCACTTCACAGTGCATTCAAAATATTTTCTTTTCCAGAATACTGCATCTCAAGCATGCACTGAAGGCCTTTCTCTTCTGTTCTGTCTGCATACCAAGCCCTAGTATTTAATCACACCCCACTCCATGGAGGCCATGCAGTGAGATGAGGAGTGCTCAGCCTTATATCAGTGTGTTCTCTTGGAAAAAGGCCTGCAGCATCAGCTGGTGATGGCCCCTTGTCTAACTGTTAATAAGAATACTAGTTTAACAAATTCAATTAGCTGACCATAATAACCACAGGCAAACTAAAATGGATGCAAAACATTCTCTAACAGTCAAAAATCACAAATTGCAAACAAGATCAAGAAAATCTGAGAAGATTCTAAATTGTAAAACCTCAAATCCAGCTTCCATACTACCTCAGAGGCCAAAACACAGTACAAAGTATAGCATATACTTTGTCTCTGCACATGGCAGGTGGTTGGAACTAAATGATCTTAAGTTCCTTTCCAACCCTAACTATTCTATGTTTCTATGCGACTTCAGTCTTCGATTTAAAGGCTGTTGGTTGTTCTCAGTCTCTTTTCTAGCTACTTCCAGTCAAACTATCCAAGCTTCTACCCTCAGTGGCCAGACAACATTGTGCATCTGAGTCCTTTCTTGGGTTTGGAGGATTCCTGATTATATTGAGTCAGGTTTGCACCAGCGGTTATGAGTCACAGCTGCTCTTGTTAGAATGATAGTAGCAGTAACAATTAAAAGATTACACATCCTGAAAGCTGCAAGATGCAACTGCAATGCTTCCTACTGCTTGCACAGGGGAGAAAAGAAATATAACTCCAAATATTGCAATGTCCTAGTCTGGTGATGCCAATGATATCAGTGAAATTAAGCTGAGAATGTCAAGTCTGATTTCATAATCTTACAACTCTTTATCTGAGTCACTTCCCTAATGCAGATGAGGATGTGAGTGCATGTAAGAGACTACAGCAAGCTACCGTGTGAGAACAGCAAGAAGTGAGTCCTGTCAAGGTGACATTTACCCTGCTCAGCAGAAAGAGAGTCATTATAAATATATGGAAGAAAAGAGAGCCAAAAGTCCGCGTCTTTTCCCTGATATTACAATTCATGAATTTGAGAAATTCTCCCCGAGAGGGTGTAAGGACTGATAAATTAGTCAAAGGGACAACTCAGTGCTACTAAGAGTTTATTAGCAAAAAAGCCAGAGAGGGACTGGACCATGAGGTATAACAATATATGCTCACTTCTCTTCTAAATTTCATAGGAAAAAAGATCACCTAAAAAGACAAACAATGGAACAAAGAAGGAATACCAATATACTAATTAATACTAATTTGTGTCTCAAAGACATATATCTACCTAGCTTTTAATATTCAAAGCACTTTAGTCATTAATAATGTCTTTTAGCTAACACTGTTCAAACATCAAACTATAAGGTGGCCATTTAAGAGAATAAAGAATTTCAGCTTTTGAAAAAAGAAACAGTCTGTCTAACACTTTCCTGCATATTTACAAACTTTGTATCATGTAAGTCAGGGAAGGTGTGAGACAGTCTACAAAATAATTAATATGGGAGCATGCAATTATGTGAACTTATTAAAGTGCATCATCAGAAGTAGGTACTTTGAGATGTAAAAAAGGAAAGTAACTCAATCCCCAAATGTTCAAACAGGAGGAGCCATACTGCACCCAGAGGCTGCAAACTCCCCAGGGTCCCATGGCAACATCTGGCCTCTTACTGGCACAACTAAGAGTTTTTCCAACAAAATTTCCTGGCCATATGATAATATTAAAATAAATATTTTAATATGTATTTATAATAAATAAATTATCCTGAGTAGCTGGAGGCGGCTATGCTTAACAAAGTCAAAAGAACAAAGACCTGGCTTCCCCAACCTACCTTTAGGTCTCATTCAAGCACCAGTTGCTAAAGACTCATTTCTGAGAGGTTTTAAATGAAACTTTCAAACAACACATACTGCTCTCAGCCATAAAAAGTGTTGTTATGGCTTAAAAAATATAGATCCATCGTGATGAATACCCTTCACAGTTTGAAATGTCATGAAAAGAGTTTAACCCTGAATTGCCAAGAACGATAAACGCAACCCTCCCTGTACCACTCAAGATGGTTAGGGAGAGAATAATTTCTGGCACAAGTTTGACTGCCGGGCAACAGGATGTTGTCACAGGTACTTAAACCTGAAAGAAAACATGGATTCAAATGGATATTGAGACCTTGAGAAACTGGCAAACATTAAGATGTAAATTGAATATGCAAATACAAATGGAAGGAGGAGGAGGAATTACATTCTCAGAACAAAAGTCCATCCTTGAAAGAGGATAGATTGAAAATAACTGAAAGAGGATAGGTTTAGATTAGATAAAAGGAAGAAATTCTCTTCCTCATTCCTGTGAGGGTGCTGAGGTACTGGCACAGGGTGCCCAGAGAAGCTGTGGCTGCCCCATCTCTGGCAGTGTTCAAGGCCAGGTTGGACAGGACTTGAAGCAACCTGATCTAGTGGGATGTGCCCCTGCCCACGGCAGCGGGCTGGAATTGGATGAGCGTTAAGGTCCCTTCCAACCAAACCATGCTGTGATTCTATGACATTCCCTTTTTCAGAGGAGAAACGTGGAGAAAGTGGCTGCCATGGACCCATGCTGATAGATGCAGGGATGGGTTGCTGATCTGCTGCCCTGCACGGAGGACTCTGCTCTGCTCTGGTGGTCAAAAACTGGTCTGAGGACAGCATGGGAATAGGAACGCACAAAAACCAATGAATGTGTCAACAACATCAAATAGCACATTCAATTTTCACTCGCCATAGAATACTCTTCATAGCATACCAAACTCTTTTCTTTCCAGCATATTGGTCTGCACATCTTCATCTCTTTAGAGGCTGTATCTGCATAAATCTTTTAAAAAGTAAATAAGACAACATCAAACCAGCAAAACTGTATCCATGGAAAACAGGCCTTATTACAGATACCCCGTGGTGTGTACAAAATTAAAGGTTGTTCAGCTGTTCAATCTCATCAAATGTAGCTGGGCTATGGTGTGGAAAACGTGCTAATGAATAAGTAATTTCTAGAATAAATACTTACATGCCAGTTTCCAGCTTAAAATTGCAAATATACTGAAGTGCAAGGAGCCTAACGGCACATAGAAGGAGTCTGTGTGCATCTCTCCGTCAGTGTCTGCACATTAGAGATGTGACCCCAACAGGGAGTGACCACTAAGGAGAAAGACTGTGTGGTGACAAAGGATTGAAATCAGATGAGAGAAGGGATTAATCCCCTCCCCTCCTTGAACTGTAGAAAATGGAAAATAAGAAATGCACCTATGGTTCATAGTGCAGTACAACAGAAAATCATGTTTTATCCGCTTTATCAAACTATATTATGCAAGGTTACATAAAAATGATTTAATGCTCCTGAGGGGGAGTAATTACAATACAGTCTACTGCAAACACAATTTTTTCTGAAGCTTTAATAAGTAAGTACTCCCCAATCAGTTTTGAGCAGCATTTCTGCAGGTCTCCTACCACAAGCACAGCAAGTCATGCCCTGGTCCTCCTCTTCGGACCGCAGGGTGGGGAACCGCAGGCAGCAACATGTGGGACTGGCAGGAGACAAGAGCCAGCGTATGGTGCAAGGAAAGACACCAGATGCAATGCTGCAGTCGCTGCACAGCAACAAAATAGATGTTCCCTCGAATTCCCATATACTGCCTAGGCACACAGTAATAGGGCAGTTTGGGTTGGAAGGAATCTTTAAAGGTCATCTAGGCAACCCCATGCCATGGGCAGGACATGGTCCTTTGCACCATGTCCAGAGCATGTTAAGTGTAAGAGAAAGCAAAAATACTCAAGTTCTGCAGTAAAAAGTAGCTGAAAACAAAACACAAACCTGAGCTCCTGCAAATGGAAGGACCAGCCAAGTCCTGACTTGAAATCACATTCTGGCACTTCAGAACACTCATATTTTCTAACTAGAGGACAACAGGGGAAGTCTGTGCTCTTAAAGAACTGAGCCTTCCAGCAGGAGGGTGACAGAAACCCAATTTTAACTGAAAAACTTGCTAAAAAGGGAAGTGGATTTGTTCATACATTTTATGCTGGAGTTCCCTCACTATGACTGGAAATCTGTTCTGCAGATGAAGCTCTACAGACCATAGCACAGCGGGTGCTACTGCAGTGGATGCACACTGATGCCATCGCTCTCATACCCTGTCTTGTGCAGACCGAGGACAAGGAGAACAGGCACAGAAAATCTTTGGCACTAGAAGGTAATTCAAACTATTTACCTCTTTCAACAGAAGCCCAAGATCAGTTTAAAACCATGTCATGACCACATCACAACAGCTTCATTATAGCATAATCTAAGTAATTGGGTATATATCTTAGGGGAGATAGGACCAAGAAACTTAATGACTTCACACAAGGTGGTGCTACACATGCCTTATGAATGACTTCAACACTTTGCAATCACCACGGAACTTCTTCTGCATACTGATCAAGCGAAAAGTGACTTGTAAAACAACTGAAAACTTTTTGGAAGCAGCATACTGTGCCCAAGCCCTGGGAGGAGAGCTCCTGCCTTGCATTGTGGCTGAGCTACCCTCATTCCTAATATAACTGTAATTGTACAGCGATTGGCATTTTCAAGTTAATTCAGTTAGTACTGGAGATCTACGCATTGCCCAAAGCAGCGCAGAGGACCAGCTTTGGGGAAACCCAACGTGAATTCAGGAGGAATGCAGAGTTCAAGGATCTGCCAGCTGCAGTACAAAGTTCAGAAAATATTTCTGCTGAGCAGGTAGCCGCTCCTCTTTGTGTTCTTAACCCTTGGCAGCTGAGCACTGCAGCATGTAGCTGAGGTGGAAAGGTTATCTGCTGTTAGAAAATGTGAGGGCAGAGCTACAGCTAATATGAATTGACATTTCTTCTTCAAAGCAATGGGACCACTGTGGTTTAGACATGCTTGGCATCTGGCCCAGAATGAGTTGAAGTTCAACAAAAAAGACAGAAAAACGATAAAAGGTTGCTGATGAGTTGCAGTGTTTCGCCATTATCCCTGCTAAAACAGCTTTATGGACTGAAGGACTGACAGTACCATCTAGTTGCAAAAAGCAACCAAAATAACAATGCCCAGTAATATTAATCCAACCGAAAATGCAGGGGGATATTCTCCACTTAGTCTCTTCTTGACTGTGTTATGACAGACTTCAGAGCACAGTAAGCTCATAGGCATCACTCAGGTCCATCCCAGAGCAAAACAGTAACCCATACCATGGTTTGCTTTGTCCTTCTTATACTGAAGTGAATCCCTGTTAAACAGTGTGTATTGCATACATGGCAAAGAGCTCAATAACTCCAGTGTGCTGAAGGGACACACCAAAGAAAGGCAGTCTTTGCATCACCTTAGAAGAAGAATTGACTGATCTTGGCACGATGCCCCGGACTGTTGCCCTCAAAACCCTATAGTCCTGCTTGGCAAGTCTGGAAGGCAGCAAAACAGAGGAGCTGTCTTTCTGGGACTTACATGATCCCATCTGCAATGCATGAGCATCTTACAATCATCATCAAGGTGGGGGGGAGGCGGGCACGGCACTACTTGCCAGGCATACACCGGGAGGCTCCAAAAGCCCATGTGATGGATCCAGGTCTTTCAGATATCACAAAGATTTTATTCACTGGGCTGTTTCCTCCTCCTGATGTGTAGACATATTGCTTGGCAATGGACTGGGAGAAAAGTGCTGCAAGTATTTCTACCTTACCAAATGTGACTCTACAGCTCTACAAAAGCATTTGATGTTTCTTTGCCCTGCCCAGAAGGTGGACAATTTTTTCCCTGACCCAGATATAATGTAGAGTTTTTCAAGCCTTTTATTTTCATTAGTTCCAATAATAAAGAAGTCCTATTTGTCACTCACAGGAAACAACTTAAAAACATTATAAACGCATCTCTCCCTGCATCACATAGCAGAAACTGATATAGTCAAGTAACAGCTTAAGCACAGTGTTCATACCCACACGCAAATATGTTACTTGCAAAACAAGTGTCAATTTACAACTAAGTTGATGTTTTCCTGAGATCGCTGCTTTGCTTTTAATACAGTATATTGTTTCTTGCTGGTTCTTGTTTTGTATTCCTGGAAGAACAAATCAAAACATAGCAACCAAAGCTACAACAATCAGCCCAGCTGGAACAGAAACACTCATGGGTGAGAAATGGAAAACAAAACCTGATGCAGAAGAGCACTGGCATAAGCAAGACCATCGCAAGCCCAAACCATCCTCGACTGTAGCATTTGTCATAGCTTTGTGTGCCTCAAATTTTGCAATCTGCTTGAAGAATCCGAGCTGCCCATCACTTTTTACAGGACTTGGGTGACAAAATTATGTGTGTACCTTTGAAGATAGCATTTCCTGACACTGTACAATAAAGTTGCACAGAAAAAAGTAATCTTCAGGAATCTCTGTGAGCTCCTAATTGTTTTAATTTTGACCTTCTTTTTATTTTATATATATACAAATGATTTCTCTGAGATTTAAGATGTCTTTTCTCTTTCTCTCCTTCTTGAAAGAAAATTATCACCTCTTTCAATTTCATCTTCACATAGTTGCCCTTTAGTCTTTCACATTTGATTTGCAATTATGCTTTGAGTGGCCCTCTCTACCCTCCTCTACTTCTCCTACTTTGTTATATTTCCCCACCATCAACCTTTCTGACCGTGGCCCTCCGATTACATTGGTCATCCTGGTATTCCTAAAGATCTTCACACCTTAAATCAGGCCTTCTTCTGGAGCCAAGTTAAAATAGTGGGCACAATTCAAATACAATAAAAAGCAATTTGAACATTTCACAAGAGCTTCACAAGCTGAGTTGCAACTGGGGCTGTGGCAATTTACACCAGCATATTAGCATTCTTTTTTCTTGTGACTCAGACACTCAATTCAAGCAATATCCCTACCTTTGCTGATACAAGTTCTCACCTATTAGGGAACAGCTAAGCATTCTGAAGGCTTTTTACAGCAATTTCTTCTAGCTCTAACTGCACAGCACCACAGAAACCAGGCCAGCACCCTTCCCACCCAGGCAAAGACCCTAAAGAGTGGGCAAAGCCATCTGAGCACACATGGAATTGCAGAAATATTTAATGGTTCTTAGTTAGTTGTCCCCAACATGAAATGCTTTCTCATTCCTCTGATTTCATCAGAAAAGCAATAATTCCTGGATGACGAAGTCACAGATATGGAATTAGCTCACAAGATCACCACAGAGGCAGTCACAACACTCAGAAAAAGCCACCCTCAAAAATTGTTCACTCGTGGTTATACAGGAATGGTCACTGGGATAACCCATGGTGAAAAAGAGTATTTTGGAAACTCTTTTTGAACCATTTATAATTTTAGCATAAAGAAGATTGCTCACACATTAGCAAACGTTATTTTTATGCTGCCAGGCAACCCTGCTGGTAAAGCTGCTGGAAATGACTCAGAAAACATTTTGTTAGTTGTTAGATCTGATTGCCATAATTAACTTCTGATCACTGATTTGTTCATTTGTTCCTTTTTTTTAAATTGCTATCAAATACCTACATCTTCAGAGGCTTTACTGGGATCTCCACTGGTGGGAAGCAGAAGACCACCAGTCCCTTGTTTTCCTGGGACACAGCTCAGAGATTAGAATTGCTCAAATCCTGGGTCTCCCGTTTTCAAAGCAAAAGGAGGGATGGAAGGGAACCCTCCCCACAGGGAGCCCTCCTCACATGGGAGGGAGCTTGCAGTAATGGATCCGTGAACAATTTTTAAGTTGGATACTTCTTGTAACAGCTGCACTAATGCGCATTCCTCATGTATTTATGTATGTCATAATAATCATAATGAGAATTTGAGAATAAAGAAATAAGAAGCTAGATTTTTCCTTACCTTTTTGGAAAGCAGGCAAAAGCTATACAGTAGGTGGAAGAGTGTACCAAGTAACAGATTTTTGAACACTCTTTCTTACTGGTGGTATGCAGTCTACAGGAAAAGTAAATACATTGGTATGTATAATATGTCTGTTCATAATAAACTCTTCAAATTTTGCCCTGTCACGAAGGCCATGACATTAATCCAAGTAAAGGGCCCAGACTAGAACAGTGATAGTGGAAAGCTGAGAGGCGCCACTATATGAAATTAAGCACAGGTTAGAAATAAATGAACCAGTTCACAGAAGTTCAGGTACCTCTGAACATGGGAGCAGCTGCTCAGGAAAGAGCAGGTCTGGTTGGGTTTTGTTTGTTTGGTTTTGGTTTTTTTAATTCGTCTCCCCTGAACAAACTTTGGAACATTTTGGTTTTAGATTAAGACTTCCCAGTCCTTCCTCCCCTATGCAGTCACTCTCAGATTCCTCAGCAACCTCAACAACCATTTTAGCTTTTTTTCCTGAGAAAGATGGAATAGGCAACATCATGTCAGTGATGTTAAGGATGAACAGGAATGAATACACAAACACACCAGGGCACAGCACACGAGCATTTGCACAGTGGGCTCTGCATGTCTGTCCTAGTCAGGAGATTCTTGTGTCCCACATACACTATCCACAGTTCACTGATGGGAACCAAAAAAGGCAATGTCCATTCCCAAAACATGGAGAAAGGAGAGGATGGGCATACACTGCTGTCACTGCCGTCGTGATAGACAGGACCTGACAGCACACAGGGAAGCACTGTTTTAAAATGGAAACATGGAAATGGTGCCTAGTCTGCATGGGCAAAAGGGGCAGTGATTGCACCTCACTACTGAGAACTGAATCAACGGCAAGTAAGTTCTACCTAATACTAAATAAAGGAGAAAGAAAAAAAATTGCCTTGACTATGTGTGTACAGTTTACTGAGCTCTCAAAGACCCTGCTAGCTTTAAAGTCCACAAAATTATAACAGTACTGAAAATTAGACTGAAAATTCTAAGTTTTTAGACCTTAAAAGTTTTCTGGCTAGCCCATGGTGACACTTTGCCACTTCTCAACAAATCCCAGCTAAACTGCTTGGGGAAAGGGGTCTCCTCCCATGAGCTGCTCCATCTTTCCAAGAGTTATTGGTCATTATGATGCACTCTGTCTTTGCCACAGAGATGCTGCATGCCTCCTACTCTCTACTATCTACTACTAGGCAACTCTACATGAATCATCTTGATCTCGGAGACATTCTCATAGATGGTGAGATATTCCCCATGAGACTAGAAATAGAAGACCAACACTGCCAAGTTCCTAAAGACCCTACCCTATTTCTGCAAGAAAGCATCTTCCCAGAAAAGCCAGTCCCAGAAAGGCAGGTCCCAGGAAGAACTGAGCAGCTTAGCTTCCTTCTCATGGCTGCTTCCAGAGGGAAATGCATGAAAGCCAACACTCTCCCCGTAAGGTCTGCTCATCCAGCCTGACAGAATCGCAACCTTTTCATTATCAAACAACCGAGATACTGATTTCCCTGTCACTCTGTTTGGCAAAGCCATGAATTAAAATAAGTTGGTAGGAAAAAGGAGTAATTACATGTAAATCTCAATATAAGTTAAGTATGGGTTGGACGTTCAAATGTTTTTGTCACAGTCTGACACTCTGCTCTTGCAGCAGAAACACAAGCAGACAACTGAGCAGAAGCGCTCACTATCTGTTCAACTTCAGACTTGGTGAGAAGTATCTTCTCATAAAGTGTGAAATACAACCAAAGGCACATGAGAGCAGAATGAACTTGTTACATGGATGGAAGTTGCTGTGCACTGAATTCTGCTCATCTGAATCTGCTGCAAACATATATCAGCAGGAAAAAGCTGTTGAATGAGTAAAAGCATGCGCATGCCAAACTGGAATGATTAAGAGAGTTTTCATAAGCCACACAGTTGCAGACTGAAAAATTTGACCTTAGTATATCCTATTCAGCATGAAACCCCTCCCAGGCCATGGCTGGGAAGCTCAGCTTCTGATATTTCTTGCTTCCCATACCTCCTAACAAAAAGCTACAACACAGCAAGTCCTCATTCTTCCTGAGGGTGGGATATAAGGTCACTGCATTTCAGGTGATTTTCCTCCCACGCTAATGCAGTTTCTTCTTTTATACTCATTCTAAACCCCCAGTGCTTGATCCCAGCTCTCCTGAGTGCTCTGCTCATATTTTCTGAGCTCAGATTCCTGCAGATCACCTGATTGCTGTGCACAGCATAGACAGATGATGCTCAGCACCGCTGCTGAGGACCACCTGCTCTCAGGGAGCCACTCAGGTAATTTATAGACTTTCCAGTTTTACATGCACATCTTCAGTTCTTTAGGCATTCTTTTAAAGGTCTACTAAATCATGGAGATTTTTTGCAAGGCTATTTTTGTGTAAAACCATCCACATTTTGCTTTTGGTTTTGTTTCTGGCATATAAGTAGGACAGGCCACAAATTTGGGCTTAGTCACCAAATTCCCCAATGTTTGGAGGTACATGAATCCCATGCCGGTGGCTCAGTGTTAATATCTTAGGAGATACAAAACATTTGTGTATTTTCAATAGAAATGGCAACTCCAGTCTCCAGTACCAGAGCAAGCCATGAAGAGCAGCATCACCAGGAGATACAGTAGAAAATCAAACTGGAAAACCCAACTGTACTCTTCCACTTATGAGAAAACACTTAGTAGCTAAGCCAGATCAGTATCTAAGTTAGCTTTGCAGAGCGCTGATGAATCTCAGACTCATCCTTTAATGCCCATCCATTAATTTACTTTTAGCATGATATAGCGAGTTGCAGAGGAGCTTGCACGGAGTGAACAACCAAAACTTCCCCTCCCTGTTTTCCCCAGGTTACAGCAGGGAGGTTCCTGCAACAGTTGCTGGCTCCCTTCTGCATCCATAGGTAATGGTTAGCTATTGTTAGTGGATCAAAACAATTTTAATAGGAGAGTTACTGAAAACGTGTTCTTTTGTTTTCTTTTGAAAGCTAACATCTTTTAAAATGCTCCTAGCATTGATGGAAGCATCTTGGGTGATCTTTTATTCACATTTCCTATTTTCCAGTAGGTGCAATTCTGAAAATTTCCCCATCTGCTGTATAAAATAGACTTTTTTTTAAGTTTAATTGCTATGAAAACATCAAAACTTGATTTATTTATGAACATCATATTCAAAATTTCACTGAAAATGCAGTTTGGGGGTTTTGCTTAGCTAGCATTGCTTTTATTGAGCTCACTGATACGGTTTTCAATTTTTCCACCTGAAAGTGGAACTGTTTTTTTCAAACAAAATTTTAGAGTTTAAAAAAACACTCCTTAATTCAGGTATTGAATTAATCGCTTGTATAAACATACATGCTCTATGTTGTATGTTAGGGGTTGATTGACAGCCTATTGAATGCTATAGGAAAGCTCCCATTATATGTAGTTGTAGCCTACACTGGGTCTAAATGTACCCGAATACTTTAAGTACAGCAGTAGTTTATTTCATTTGATTTTCTAATAATTTTTATTAAGACACATACGCAGGGTATGAAATAGTCACAGTAGGTGCAGCTGATAATATGAACAGATGGTACTATATGTATAAATGATCAAAATAGTTAAAAGGAAATTTATTTCCCAAACCATAAAATACTTAAAAACCCAGTACTCAGAGAAAGACATATAAATGAATATAAATTAATAATAGTGCACATTTCCTTGCTGGCTGGGTTGAACAAAAAGATAAACAAATGTATATACTTTAGAATCCTACATGTAAGCAAAAGGGGTCACAGAAAGCATTCTCCCCTCATGCACACCAATTTTGAAGTTCTGAGGTTTTTGTTCCTGGTGGATTTTGCCCCAGCTTTAACTCAGTCTTACAAAACTGGGACTGAAGGCTGGATGCTTAAGGCCAAATGTAGTACATCTCAGTGAGCAGGGAGATTCTGTCTCTCACTACTTCTCCTGCCTCTTAAAAACATAGTCTAGTATATAGTCCTAGAGGAAAAAATGTTGTATTTCACCAGAAACATGGAGGTTTAAGGAAGCAATATTTCTTTGTGATAAACACATCTCCTTCCCAGGGAAAAATCTGACTGTTCTTTGGCAGGGGGGAAATGTTCTCAGAAGTGAAAACTGCAATAAGACGCAGCACAGGAGAATGAGAGGAGAAGGGAAACCCCCAAGCTGTAGTTCTTTCAGAGGTGTATCTCTGTTTCTACACTGAAAGTGGCATCATCAGAACTTTTAGAGCTTTGTTGTTGATCAAGTCTTTGAGTGGAAATTTTTAGATTCTGATTTTTCTGGAGGAGGAACTAACTCCAACTCATTTGACAGTGCAGCGATCAGTGAAATGCAGTTCAGCAACTCACCTGCCCTTCCCAGATGTCTCTTAAAATCCCCTTCTCTCCTCCTCCTCTCTCTCCCTCATTCCCAAAGGCCTTTCCCAACCCAGCTGCCTCGGCCATTCTCCCAAACACCCAGAGGAGGTTGAACTCTGTGCGCTGGATGGTCAGACAGTGACCATTAGGACTCAGTAGTGGCAGCACCATAGTGAGGGGTGGATTTATAGCCCAAAGGTAAAGGAAGGGGTTCCTTCACCATGGCATCACTAACGGAAACTTGACTTGGTGGAGGACTCTGCAGCTCACACTCTCGCTGGATAATACACCTTCTTGCAGTGTGGGCTCTGTTTGGTAGGACTGGAGGAGGCACAATATGGTCCTTAATCTATGAAAAGCATTTCCTTACTGTCTTACATCAAAATCATAGTTCAGATAGTTCAGTTTCCAAAGACAAATTTTGTTTTTCTACATAGGATGTATTTTGTATATCTGCACGATAAGGCATCAGAGAAAAACAGTCAAGGGGCGAATAAAAGGAGGAAAAGTGCTGTGTCGATAATTTGCTGGCTGTTTCCACTTTGCTTTGACAGCAGAGTTTCTGCTTTGAGGCAGGTATTCAGGCAGCAGTTAATAGACAAGAAGTGGCAGGGATTTCAGCAGCAAATGGATGAATGGATCACGGGCAGGGAAAGGGCATTTCTCCTCATTCAGATTGGTTTTTCATAAAAACTGCAGACATGCCTAAACCTTTCCAGTATGCTACAAAGTTGTGCAGCTGTCTCCTTCCTCAACTCCTTCCAGATTCAAATGCAAATCAAATTTGATGGCCTCAGTATGTAATTTTGCGCTACAGTATACCATGCTATGCACATTAAGGAAACTGGAAGTGTCTTTTCGATCTAGTTTCCTTTTAAATCAGTGGCAAGATTTGCATTAGGGCCGGATGAAATCCTTAAATGGGAATCTTCAAGGATTGTGAGATTTTTGCAAAGGAATTTTGCAAGAATGAAAATTATAACTCAGGTTAGCAGAGTTATCGATGAGTTTGGTACTTGTCCCTCCATCCATCCTGCAAACTGTACCTGCAGGGTTAGGAAGGTTTGGTTTTGACGCAAGCCTAAGGGTCCGGTACTCAAGGATGCTGCTGATCTCTCCCTCACAGAGGAGAGAAAGGAGGAGGATTTACTCACAGCTACTAAAAATTTTATGAGGAGTTGCTGCCAACTGACACAACTTGAAAAAAAGTGAATTAAAGAAGGAAAAAAAAAAATGTGTGTGAGATCAAAAATCTCCTAGAAGACCAAATAACACAAACCCCCTAAACCTCAGATATTGGTCCATGCCTCCAAATCCCCCAGCCAGCCAGCAAAAGAAGATCAGCAGTACTTACTGTTTGGGTCTACATTCTCACACAGCTCCGTTTTGGCTTCACCGTTGGGCCTGTCGCTGGGTTTGTGTGAGAGCCGTGATGACATGGTTGCTGCTGTGACCACAGCCTTGAAGCTGCGCTTCCGTTTCTGGACGTTTAGCTCAGGGTGGAAGATGATGATGTACACCTTCGGCATGTAAAGCATCCCCAGGGCCACTGAAGCACTTAAGTTCATGGATATTGTAAGTGTGGTAGTTTGTATGTAGAGCTAGGAGACACAACACATGAGACACTATTACAAATAAGATGACTGGGAAGAAGACTGCAGTATTTCAAATGTTAGCTCACCTTTTAAAAGCCAATTTTAACGAGTTGGCAACCAAAGATGCAACACACATTAGCTACCTGATCTATGAACAGTCTCTTTAAGGCTCAATGACAGAAACATTCATTGCCGTTAACAACAAGATTTTTACTGCATGCTTATGGTATAGCCTCTGTTTATTTAAAAAGTGAAGATCAGATCTGGATTGAAATAGCACTGGTATAAATTTTAAATTTAGGTCTACTGTAAGTTATAGAAGAGAGACTATAATACCACAGATTAGTAAAAAATTTTACTTTTTTAAAAATATGAAAAAGTGGGTTTTTTTTTGTTATTTTCTATGTTTTAATTCTCTACAATTCATTGAAATAATTTTGCAGAGAATACACAATGATTTATGTGCTCTTGACATTCAGCTACGCTTATTATGAAAATACAGTACATGTGCAAGTCAGAGAACAGGTACTGCCATGAGATCAGTATCCAAAGAAAGCACAAGGATCCAAAAACATATGGAAATATACAGTGATAGAAAAGCCTTTTCTTTTTTCTTATTATTATTATCTTTTTATAGGACACAAACTAGAACAGTTCTTGTGAGTGAAGAGGATTAGGCACAGTTAAAAGACACAGAGACAGCACAGTACAGGTGCGAGGGAGCCAAAGAGGGAGCAGTATCTCTGCGGAACCCCTTCAAAAATTAAATATACAGCAAATACACATAGATGGGAAAATTATTACATATTGAGGGTGATTTCTTCAGAACACTATTTCCTTTTCTCCACCTATGCAGTGCTAATCAGTCTGAATTTCTGACTAAAAACTCCATGAATAAATATAATGGCAGAGTAAAATGCTGACTCTGCCCAGGTACTTCCAAATTCCCATATTTAGAAAAATATGAATGCCTCCAGACTTGCTAGTTATATCCACAAAACAGTTGCTATTATAATGATTAAGGCCACTACTGGTAGCAATAAAATGCCTTACAGAAAAGATGAAAAGCATGCTGTGTATGGGTGTGTCTCCATACAGATGCAGAGAAGCAGAAACTAAAGTGCTTTCACAGTTTCTATTTACTCATTACCAGAAGGAAATGGCACTGATGTTGTCAGAAATGTTTCCAAAGGCCCTGGGACATAGCCCATCTCACCTGGTGAAAAGACACCAGGACAAGTCTCGTGGTTTAAGCTCAGCTGTAAATGATGCAGTCTCTCTCACCCTGCCTTTCTTGCCCTTCCGCTGCTCCCGGACGGATGGGGAGGAGAATCAAAAGAATGCAACTCCCACGGGTTGAGATAAGAACAGTTCAGTAACTAAGGTATAACACAAACCACTGCTGCTGCCACCAATGATAATAATGATAAAGGAAATAACAAGGGAAGAGAATACAACACCTCACCACCCACCGACCGATAACTTGCCCAACCGAGCACCAACCAATACCAAGTCCCACCCTGCCATGCCCCAGCCCTTCCAGGTAACTCTCAGTTACATCCTGGGCATGACGTGCTGTGGTATGGAATACCTCTTTGGTCAGTTTGGGTCAGGTGTCCTGTCTCTGCTTCCTCCCGGCTTCCCCTCCTCCCTGGCAGAGCATGAGGCTCAGAAAGTGCTTGGTCGGACTAAACATTTGAGCAGAAACTAAAAACATCGGTGTTATCAGCACTCTTCCCAGGCCAAAAGTGCACCAGCTACTAAGAAGGAGAAAAATGACTGCTACTGCTGAACCCAGGACAACAAGTTACACCATTTGAGTCTGGGAAGAGGCCAAGGGGTCACCTCATTTAAGTGCCTGCTCAAGAAGCAGCCATTCACACCAGAACTACTTGCGACAGTTCACCCTTTCTACCCACATCCTAAACTCACCCTCTGGTAGAGGTTTCACAGCCTCCTAACCAAACCCTTGCAGAGCACTCAGGACTCCGAAATGTTCAGTTTGTGCCTGACCAAGTGTCCTCTCCAGGTGGCATGGACAGTGGTGGCCACCTTGCCTTATGTCACCTTCTTTTATATTTTTTGTCTTTTGCAGAACTTCTAAAGATCAGCATGGTACCAGGTTGCCCCTTTGTCTTTGACAGATAATGGGGTAATTTCTCCCAACTTCAGTCACTGGGAAGATCTCAGGCGTCTTTCTCTCCCTAACCTGAATACTACTGTTGAGGCACTGCATCAGTGAGATGCGATGCTCTAAGGCAAGTGTGCTGCTCTACTGAAGGCCTTGCTGGAGGATTATTTTCTGAATTTATCTTACAGCATTGCTATGAAACATGATGTTTATTTTTTCACAGGCAGGCAGTGTTGTTGCCTGCTGCTCTTTGCTGAGGAGTTACTACCTGGCTGGTTATTCTTCACCATATACTTTGCAGTTGAATGTTGTTAAACTACAGATATAGAATAATTGAATAGTTTGTGTTGGAAGGGACCTTAAATGAGCTCCAACCCCCTTGTCATGGGCAGGGACATCTTCCACTAGATCAGGATGTTCAAAACCCCATCCAACTTGGCCTTGAATATATATATTCGCATATACACATAGATACGTGTATATGTATATATACACATACACACACGTATATGTAGATACACATACACACACACTATAATAAAGTACTATATAAAGATATATACGATTTACTTTTATTTCCATGTATATAAGCACTATGGCTATTTATCTTCTGGAACATTTAAAAGAGGACAGTTCACAAGCCTTTTCCTTCCTTGGAGCTCATCTTCCTTTCAGTTATGCTCACATAAATCAGCTGTAACTCAGTTGGGGTCAAATGCATTGCACTGACATAAATAAAACAGACTTCAATATTTATTAAATAAATTCAATAGCCAGAAGTGAAATATATAAAACATAACATTTAAGGTCTGATTGCTAAACAGAAAGATACCCTCCTTAACTTTAAAGTTTTTGCAACTTACTACCAGCTTTTATCTTTGCTAAGTTAGGTAATTATTATATTTATTTTATTAAAAGCTCTTGCAATTGTTGTAGAAGCTGCAGGTACCAACACCTCTAAAAGACAGTGAGATGCTGTGGACTGCATACTTGACAAATGATGTTACACCCAGGCTCATCTGGCTCCCAGCTCTGTATTCAGACCACACACACTTGCTAATACTTGGGAAGAAAGGCTGTTTAAAGAACACCTGCAGTCCTGGTTTAGTCTGAAAAGGATGCAGCAGAGAATTTTCTCTGTTTCTATATATAAGATACGTAACTAAACCTGACAAGCACTGCTACTAAGCAGTATTCCTGAATGGGATTTACATTTCTGCAAAGTTATAAGAGATCTATGTCAGTAAAGAGCTGCATCAGAAATACAGAAGATGTATCGGTACTTCAAAGGGGTGTTTTGTGGAGTAGTCGTCTCAGACGACCTGAAGTGGCAGTAAGTGTGTTCAAGTAGCCATATGGTGGAAAATGCAAAGTGACGTTTTGCAACTAACTTTTGGTTCATTTTCCTAGAGACTATAAAGACCCTTTCTAGAGAAAGCAGAATTTGGACCACAAGGCAAAAACATAAAAGCTAATGACATAGCATTGCCAGCATGACACATGTAATCAGTCGCTTATGTTCCACAGATAGAAGTAGTAATTCATGTTTGGTTACAGATCTTCTCCACCCAAATCCAACTGCTTCTTCTGCAGGGAAAGCAGCAGCTCTCCATAGCAATTTTGATGAACTTGTCAGTTAAGCAAACTAACTTTATATCACCACACTCATAGACATGTCACAGACACACTGTGTGTGACAGCAACTAAAGACCCTAGAAAAGCAGAAGGAAAGATGCATTTTGAGTAAGAGACACTTTTAAAAGCACTGTGTAACAACAAGTTTTCAAATGGCTCCTCATAGAAGTATTTGTTACCTGTGCGTGGCAGTTTCTGATTTTTTTTAACAGCTGATGAGTTGAATATGCAATACTAGCACTTTTCAGAAATAGAAGATAAGAGCAAGAGAAAACGGTAGACACCGAGAGGAGGATCCTGTTTGCAGAACAACTCTGAAACAAGGGACACAACCTGCACAGAGGCCACATCCTCTTATGCCGGAGCCAGATAACTACATGTGATGAGCTTGTGGGTTTGCAGGTACCATTGGCTACCAGCAAACACCTACCACTGGAACCATTTGCTGTCCCCTGAGCCCCAGCTCCTAACATGGGTGTTTCAGGAGGGTGGGCACAGGTTTCTGAAGAGCAGGGGGAAGATTTCTGCACCAGTGCTCAAGCATCTCTTCAGCCACATGCTACGGTCAGCAGCTTCCCCATGTGGTTTTCCATGGGCTATTCCCAGGGGAATCTGGCCATACTTTGATGTCACTTACCCTGGGATGGTTCAAGCCATCATCTTCCCCTTAATCCTGGGCTGCTGTGACTGCAAAAGCTGCAACCACCAGAGCGCCAGTAACATTTTTGAAGGGGTACACAGAGGCCTTATTTTTATTTCCTGCTGCTATTAAGGGGTTGAAGGTTAAATGATGATTTAGTCAACAGGGTCCTTTGCAGCACCATGCCAGCCAAGTTTCCTACCTTGCAAATGCCAACAGGAGATAAAAGGAAAGGGAGAAAAGAGCTTCTGTAGAACAAGGCAAGATGAGTGACACACAATGCTTCTCATGACAACTGGGAGCTTTATAAAGATAAGGAAAACTAACAGATATGCTTATTATGCAGAGCCTTAGTTTTATGTATTTTATCTCTGCTTTGTGGTTTTACCAGTCAAACATAAAAATGCAGTTTACATGAAACTATTCCATTTCTTATTTCACTTCTCCTGATAAACTCTCTGAAAGCATTTGACATGAATGCAAATGGGTGACTTAAAATACAAAGGATAAGATTTAACCGACAGTGGGAGTCTAATAATTCGTGCATGTCTTTTACAGCAGGCTGGTGAATCTGAATTCCAAACTCGAGATCAAACTAAG